TCATAAAATACAACTTTACAAGTAATAAATAACTAAAGCAGAAGCGCGACTGTTTGCAACCACAACTGTCATCATGGCGCTCCAACATTTGATCTGGAACTGGGAGAAAAGAAGCCCCTTTGTTGAACGGTATTGGCGATGTGAACGAGCTCCTCCAAAAAGTTGAGGAAGAGACTGAAACCTTTATTGCGGAGTCGTTCGCGCAGGAGATCTTGGACGAGCCGGATGAGCCTCAACCAAAGCGCGCAATGCTCAGCAACCTGCAGGACCCGCGCAATTTGCCGAGTTTTCGATCAAGCCCTGGGAAAAATCCGTAGGAACAGAACAGTCAGAATACCCGATGCCAAGTCTAAATCTGGAGACCCTGATCTGGCGGCAAACTACCGGCGGTAGTCTACCGCCCAGTTTCGCTGCTGCCTATATGTGCCAAGGTATTAGAAAGAATAGTACTGGACCAGATAATGAAATTCTTCGCAGATAATGGCATTGAACACGTACCAGACTCTCAATTTGTATACCGTCGCAACCACTCTTGCGAAGACTGCTTGGCTCTAGCTGTGAACAGATGGCGTTCTGCATTGGATAGCAACGAATACTGTGGTGTCATCTTCGCTGACATGAGCAAAGCTTTTGACAGGGTGGCACACTCCGCCCTCATCCAGAGTCTACATGACACAGGCATCAGAAATGTTGCCTTGAATTGGTTTTGTAGCTACCTGTCTGACAGAATACAAACTGTTAGAGTGGGTCAGGAACTTGGACAGTCACGCCCATGCTCCCGAGGAGTGCCCCAAGGCTCCGTTCTGGGCCTAGTCTTGTTTTGTATCTACATTCGCGACATAACACCCTGTTTTAGGTTTAGCCAAGACCAGGAATAAGCCGATGATATTGCATTTTATGTCCGCCATAGTGACTGTGATGTGTTGGAGCGTCTCACTGCGGACCTTGCTGCTCTGGACAGCTACCTTACAGGGAAGGGACTAGTTCTTAACCCTGATAAGACACAATTTCTGCTATTACGTCGCCCAACTAGTCCCTTACTCACCACTGTGTCCATATCATGCCGCAACTCCACTCTCTATCCTGCGCACACAGCCAAATACCTGGGCCTCATTGTGGATGAGCACTTGGCATTCGATGCTCCAGTAGAGCGAGTTTGCATTGCAGTCAAGCAGAAGGTCGGAGCCTACAAGCATGCCAGGCAGAACCTGAACCACAGAGCACGTCGTCTATTCTATCTATCCATTATTCAATCCACCCTTGAGTATGCTAGCTCTGCCTACATTAACTGTCTATCTCACTGTTCATACAACCAGCTGATAACAGCCAGCCGTACTACCCGGTAGTCTTAAAAGAATATTTGCTCTTGACCGCAGAACTGCCACTGAGACACTGTACGCTTACACCAAGATCTACACACTAGAGCAACGCTTAAATTTCAAGCAATACGTCTTTGTCTTTCGCTGTCTGCATGGTTTATCTAGCCCACTTCTCAGCCTCCTATTCACTCCCCCATGCACTGGCCCACATACTGCTGCCACAACCTGGGGCCAAGCTACAGCTGCTCTTGTCTTGCCTGCCTGCCACTCCCGGTATGGTTTCCATTCCATTGCGTATATTGGTGCCGACAGGTGGAATGCGCTGCCTCCATCTTGTCGCCTGGCCGGGTCGCCTGCTTTGTTTCGCGCTCACACAAAGTCTCATTTAGGGTTCCCAGTAAAAAGGCAACATTGCCTGTTGGGCAATCCCTAACAAAATAAGAAAAAATAATAATAATATTTGTGTCCAGAAGGACAGCATTATTCGTTTGAAATTGTTTTAGTAGCAGCTTGTTCTGTTTGTTTGGCCCTGGTTGGCCATGGTGTCATATCTTGTGTCACAGTAACTATACTAGTAGTCCTTACAAGTTCGTTAAGTGCTTTCGCAGTTTTTCCTGTTATTACCTTAGTGCTAGGATTATAAATAATCTACGTGGAGATAAAAGTTTAATAATAGCAATGAAAAGTATGAATGCCGCAGACATCACCACGCAACATGACAATTTGTTCAAGGTTTGGTTTTGTGTGTTTCCAAAATCGATTTTCACGTTCCGATCATCAGTGGAAATACGGAACTAAAGAGATCAAGGGAAAAACAAAGGTTAAAAATCCAAAGAAGTGTGACACATGACGGGTAACTTGTGGTAAGTTTTACAAAAAGTGAGAACTAAAATAAAGAGTAAGTGTGACAAACGGGCATGAACAGTGCAGAAACAACTCATGAACACGGGGTGCAAACTCACGAAAATAACCTAAGTGCTAAAACATGTTCTTTTTGCTTACACAAATCGGGCTTATTCGAGCAGCATGTACCACTTCACATGCTGCCGGACGCAGCAAAAGCGAAGCGCCCGAAGCGGGGAAGACCACGCAAGAACCCGCTCCCTCTACCACCGACACAACCAGAGCAAGTCGAACACACGGTGCAGAGGAAGAGTGGTGGATCACTAAGCCAACCGAATGTGCCTTCTCCACCGTTGCCCTTGCCGCCATCGGAGCCACCACCAGTGCCGTTGGTGGCTGGGGTTTGGGAGGAGTCGGCAACAACAACAGTACCGCCAATCACAGACATTGAGCCCATTTCTTTGACACAGTATCCGGCTGTGCGGACACCGCAGCACCCTCCGGCGCTTGATCCGTGGGTCCAGAGACCACGGAGGTCGACCGCCAATTATTCAACCGAAATATATGCTAGGAATGGCCAAGGCCCACGCGGAGCATCGAAGGAGACCGGAAGCCGGGGGCAAAACGGAACACAATCTCGGGACGTAGATGAGGTAAAGACAGTGACACGGGACAGACGTAGGAAGGAGAACATGGATGGTATCAGACGACTGACTGGTGGTGAATATGAGTTGGGTGATGATGCGGCGGATGACGAGAATACAGATGACGACGAGGCGGATGACGGCGAGGATACAGATGACGACGAGGCGGGTGATGACGAGGCGGCGGATGAAGACGAGGCGGATGACGGTGAGACGGCTGGTGGTGATGGTGATAAAACGGACGAGGAGGAGTCAGGTGGCAGGGAAGGTGATGGAGCTGATGAGGGTGAAATTCGTAAGAAGTCAGCTGTGTATTTGCATTTGTTATCTCGTCCCGATTGTTTGAGTGTGTATGATGATTCCCACTTCTCTGTACTGTGTCGTGCCCGTTATGTCCAGCAGTTGAAGGTCCTTGAAGCTGTTTGTATTCGTACGCATAAGCCCGATTTGTGTAAGCAAAAAGAACATGTTTTAGCACTTAGGTTATTTTCGTGAGTTTGCACCCCGTGTTCATGAGTTGTTTCTGCACTGTTCATGCCCGTTTGTCACACTTACTCTTTATTTTAGTTCTCACTTTTTGTAAAACTTACCACAAGTTACCCGTCATGTGTCACACTTCTTTGGATTTTTAACCTTTGTTTTTCCCTTGATCTCTTTAGTTCCGTATTTCCACTGATGATCGGAACGTGAAAATCGATTTTGGAAACACACAAAACCAAACCTTGAACAAATTGTCATGTTGCGTGGTGATGTCTGCGGCATTCATACTTTTCATTGCTAGGATTATCATTTTCATTGGTGTTGTTTCTTCTCACTCCATTTCTCTTTATTAATAATAATAATAATAATAATAAGTCGACAATGTCAATGGCCACCAGGGAGTTGTATAGACCCGGGGTCTATACAACTCCCTGGTGGCCACCACAAGAAAAAAAGCACTATGGACTACTGTACTGTAAAAGCAGAAATTTTCGGTGGTGTTTTATTTTCGGTGACTTAAGCCTAGTTCACATTCGACGGGGCGCGACGGGACGCGACGTAAGGATCGACGGGAAGCGACGGGACGGACTGACGGCGTCCAATGTGAACACCAGGAACGGGAACGCAACCGTACTAGTACAGATCGGGAAGCGACGGGAAGAGTTGGATCGATCCAACTTTTCATACCGTAGACGGGCGTAGACGGGGACGCAAGCGTACAAAACGGCTGCAATTCGAGTGTGAACAGGAGACGGCGTCGTGCGCCGACTACTCCCGATTCGTACTTGGAAATTTTTAGCATTTCGAACACTGCGCTTCCCATGATAAGTCACAGAATGGCTAGCACGACTTGAGTTGAATTTTAGCAACATAAGATCTCATGTCACCTATTGTATTTAGGGATAGTTCAGAAGCGTGACAGACGAACTATTCTATCATTTCCTGGGGCTATTATTTGAATGCCACAACTTTCAGGGCTAATTTTTTGGTCTTCATGAAAAACTGGTATTGTGAACTTGATTCCGCTTCTTTCAAGGAGAAATAATTGAAGAGAAGTCCCGAAAAACGAGAAAATAATTAGGTCCGAAAGTCACCCCGTCACGGACCGTGCCGAGCCACCGTGCTCACAGCAGAGACTTCTGTGTGTGTTATTGTTGTGAAATGGACCACAAAGACGTCGCAACGACTGCTGCATGTCGTGTCGTACGAATCGTACAGGATTTTACAGCTCACCCCATGGCCCAGCCCTCCCGACAAGCCCTTACCTCTCGTACCGTCGGCGTTGCGTCGAATGTGAACTAGGCTTTACATGTAGGTGCCGACAATTTTTACCGAAAATAAAACGCACCGAAAATTTCGGTACAACCAATTCTGTATACATGTGGCACTAGTACACTTCTCTGGAGAACGGGTTTTATCGAAAATTTCCCTCTACCGAACTGCTGATTTTGGAGAATACCGAAAATATTACACCACCGAAAATTTCTGCTTTTGCTGTACTACTACTGCGTACATTATAATGGTGTGCTTCTGGCGGCCGGTTGCTCATTTTTGAGCTCCTGGCTCGTCAGGTAGCGTGGACTCTGGGTTGACTGCCTAGAGTGTTCCTTTCTTTGCCTCTCTGGTAAGCTAGGAATAACACCAACTTAGTCTATCGGCATTATCGACGCATTCATTCTTTCATTCATTCAACGTTTATTTATTTTCGCCTTCCATGGTTCCGACCATCAATGATTATTGTGATAGTAATTGTTTGACAACAGAATGGCGAGTGGCGACTTTCAACGTACGTGGACTTGCTATGGACGCGAAGAAACGCGACCTGGTGGCGGATGCAAGGACCTACTCCGCGGACGTCGTCGCTCTACAAGAAACCAAGATACAAGACAACGTAACGGCAACGCTTGAAGGATATCGACTGTTGACGTTCAAGCCAGAAACTCCTGCGTATGGCTTGGGCTTCTTGGTAGCCCCCCGCCTGAGCCCGTTCCTGTACCGCTCCTGGACACCGGCGGACTGCGAGCGGCTGGCCGTACTGCAATTCAAGTTACCTTGCAGCGGTGGACAACGGACGTTTTTGCTGAGCTTGGTGAACGCGTACGGTCCCACGTCAGCTGTATCGGAGCGAAAACCAGAAGTCCTCGATAAGTTTTATGACCAGTTGACGAAAGTATTACACGACGTCCGGGGCAGCTCAGCTATACTGGTGCTGGGAGACTTCAATTCCAAAGTGGGCCGTAAGCAATGTTATGAAGAGTGCCTGGGAAAATACAGTAAAGGCAAGCGGAATGCCAATGGAGACGCTCTCATTGAATTTGCGCAAATGAACAATCTTCTAAGAGTTGGTGGACAAGCCGTTGATTATTCACTCTCATTGTAATATCAAAAAAGTATTCTTTCTAGACCAAAGAGTGGTATATTTGATAACATTTAATAACGATAGAAATATTTAAATAACCGACGAGCTAGCTGTGCTGCATTCTCACGCTTCTTTTCATGTTACTCTAGCTATATAACTGGTTGTTTTAGTGATTCTTACTATGTGACGATGTTCCACTGATGATGGTCACACGAAAACGTTCTGGAATTGTTTCATTTTAATTGTTTATACATGATTATGAGTGCACAATTGATATTTTTCATTGCGATAGAAATATTTACGATACTTCTCCAGACGTTTCGTTGTTCTGAACAACATCGTCAGTGGATAAAGAATTCTTTATCCAGACGTTTCGTTGTTCTGAACAACATCGTCAGTGGATAAAGAATTCTTTATCCACTGACGATGTTGTTCAGAACAACGAAACGTCTGGAGAAGTATCGTAAATATTTCTATCGTTATTAAATGTTATCAAATATACCACTCTTTGGTCTAGAAAGAATACTTTTTTGATAGAACAATCTTCTAATGAGCAATACGTGCTTCCAACACCCAAGCAGACATCTAACCACCTGGGAAGGCAAGAGCCCAGCCGGTAAAAGGATCTTCAATCAGATCGACTTCATACTATGTAACTCGAGACAAAGAGCTGTGCTGCAGGACGCCAGGTCGTACGCTGGCACAAGAACCTTTTCTGACCATCGCCTAGTTATGGCCCGTGTAAAATTTAAAGCTCTTCACCCTGTGTGGAACCGAGGCAAAACAATCCGCAAACGCAAGTTCAACACCATGAGACTGGTCAATGACAAGAAAATGCAGAAATTATACCAAACGAAAATGGAAGAAGCGGCACCTCAACTCCTCAATGTGGCAGAAGCAAGTGCAAGACTCACGGCAACATGCTCATCCATTCGCAAGGTGGCAACTGGAGTAGTCGGATACACACCGAGCAGAAGCAAGCTACCCTACGCTACGGATGAGGTAGACAAACTCTCAGAATTGCAGAGGAAGCTGCGTATGGATCTTAATAGCACACCAAACATGAATAGAAGAAATGAGCTGCGAGTGCAGCGTAACAGAGTGCAGAAGGAAATCCGAATCCTGTCTCGACAGCTGGCGTTACAGCATCTTGAGAGCCGCATCAGAGAAGTGGAGTCGCTCAAGAACAGGCCAATGATGTTTGCAGCGATAAAACTGCTGAAACCAAAGTGCCCACGAGATCTAACCATTGTAGACAACAACGGCAAGGCTGTCCTTGGGCCAGGAGAGCAAGCGGATAGAATAGCAGAGCATTACACTGGGAAATTTTCTCCTACTGCTGCAGAGCCAGCGGTTACGCCATTCACAGGAACACCGAAACCCCTCGATAAACTGATTTCCACAGCAGAGGTAGCGAGCGCAATGAGTCGTCTAAAGAACCAACGCTCCTGCGGGCCTGATGACATACCGGCCGAGCTGGTCAAATACGGAGGCCCTGCACTTGCAGAATGCCTAAGCAGCATTTTCAACGATGTATTCACTCAGCACAGCCAAGCGTCCCGTGGAGATGGTGTACTAATCGCTCTGCATAAGCCAGGTAAACCCAAAGGCCCCATGAACAATTTGCGTCCGATAACATTGCTGACTACTGCCAGAAAAATCTTGTCCCTCATCACACTTAGCCGGATCAGAGCTGACGTAGAGCGATATATATCTCCATCGCAAGCCGGGTTCCGTCAAAACAGATCAACCGCAGACATTGTGTTTTGCAAACGGATCCTGGCATCAATTGTTGAACGCTTCAACACTACTATCTACGTGCTAGGGCTGGACCTGAGCAAGGCTTTTGACACAATATACCGCACAAAGCTGCTTGATGTCATGGAGCAAGAGAAAATTGGAGACGCGGACGGTTTACGACTGGTTAGGTACCTGCTATCTGGCACGGCGCTGACAGTTCGCGTGAACAAAGCACAGTCCGCACCTTTTGAGACAGCTCGGGGGGTCCCCCAGGGCGATGGTTTGTCACCGGTACTGTTCACGGTTTATTTGGAAGCAGCCCTACGAATGGTACGTGACCGACTGCCAGCCCGACCATCAGCAGACAACATTCTACCTGAAGAAACAGCTTACGCCGATGACGTAGACTTCATCTCCACATCAAAATCATTCCTTACCAGCGCCCTACCCGTCATCGCAGGTGTCTTCTCCGAATGGGGTCTTACCGTCAATACCAGTAAGACTGAGTGGATCCGTATTTACCTGGAACCCACTTTGGGAGATGCCACCTCTACAACATCTAGAAAGGTCGGCACAACTCGTGGTAAAGAAGCTTGGCGACAGGTGAAGACACTCGGCTCGCTATACGGCTCCGGGGAGGACGTAACGCACCGTATTGGCTTGGCCGCAAAAGCATTTGGAGACACTCTGAAGTTATGGTTCAAACACAACCTGCTTTCTACACCCATCAAAATTCGTTTATACAACACTTTCGTTCTACCAATCTTGACCTACAACCTTGCTTGCCATGGCCTGTCCCGTGCACAAGAAAAGCGCCTAGATGTGTTTCATAGGAAACAGCTGCGGTGTACCCTTGGAATTACCTACCCAGATGTCATCTCGAATGCAGATTTATATGCTGTTACTGGCCAGTGCTCTGTATCTGAAATGGCCAAGCGGGACAGGTGGAAGCTATTAGGACATAATTATATTACGCCAGCCAAGTGACATCCCTGCAAATGTTGCTCTCACTGCTTTCTGTACATATGCTACCAGTCAGCCCTTTCGAATAGGTGCACCCCGCTCTTGCCTCACCACAAGTCTCCAGCGAGACGTCCGCCTCACACCTATCTGCACTTTTAAGCCCAGCTGCCTTCGTGATCTCGGCACCTATGCCCGCGACAGAAAACAATGGAGTAACATCTGCTCAGCCATTTTAGTCTAGTACTGCTCTTCTTAAATTTGACCTTTATTACAAGACTCTTCTTTTCTTTTTCATTTCGTTCTCCCACTCTCACACACACATGCTCACGGTTAATTCTGCCGTCGTGAGTCCCATTCGGGACGGATACGAGAGTAATAATAATAATACTGCGTACTGTCTGTAGACCTACCAGAAAACAATCACAAAACACAATGCAGGTGTGTATGTCATATATCTCTTTATTTGGCTTGGGTGCACACGGGAAACACGTTCCAGTCACCTCATACTCGGCCTCTACCGCTGTTCATCCAGCCCTTGCCGCTATCGCGGCGCGGACTGGATTCCGCGGTACTGCCCTCGTACTCGTGCAGGAACCTGTACGTACAGGCCAGGTCAAAGGTCAAGGGTTCCATATATTCGAGTCTCGTCGGCGCCACACAAGGTCTGGTTCATTTATGGCTTAGGTCAGTTAAAATCCGAACCGCTTCCTCCCTGTTTGGTGTGTGCGGAGTCGGGTTTCAATTATGTGGATTTCGTGTGAGTGGATGGTCTGGATCATGAAACGTTAGGGAACGGCTCCTTGATCTGGACTTCGATTGGCATGGCACCTTCTTTTTCTCCCTTTTTTCTTCCTTTTTTCGCTGTATACAATGATGGTGTGTGTCTCTACGTACGTACGTGTACGTGTGTGTTTGGGAGTGTTCTCCCTGGAGACGAGTGCTGTACTGTAGTGTCGTTCCTTCGAAGAAGCTTGCCGTCCTTTTAATTTTGTCATCTACTGATCATGATTATTTACTTCCTCCTGGTGCCAAGGTTCCCAAGTTTTTTCCTTTTCACCCTGTCAGCAACCAGAGATGCCGATGGTGGTACATCTTTCCAGTGGTTGAGACAACACTCCCCATGTACTGAGTTGGGGGTGATCCCCACGATCTTTTGTCTACTCACTCTCCTTTCTACCAGGCTGAAAGGGTTTTTTGAGTAGGTGTTTTGCGGTGACTCCAATTTATCAGCCAACAGCTGCTCAGGAACAATGTATGGAAGTCTTATTGGATCGAGGAACGTTCTTCGAGTTTCCAGTGGTAGTGATGGACCATCACCGGAAGCTTCACTACTACTAATTACTAGACTGGTAGTATTCTTGTTTTTTGTTTCCTTTCCTGGCTGATTTCGATCGAGGAGGCGAGGCCGTCCGTTTACAACAGTAGTGAGTGAGAGAGGCAGAAGAGGAGGGCATCTTCTCTTCATCCGCACACCGTCACCCCTCGCTCTATCCAGGTAACTTTCTTGTGTGGCACATCGGCAAGGCGCGGCGTGGTTACCATGTTACCGGCTTCCGGTGATGATCCATACGTTCATCACTACCACTGGAAACTCCAAGATCGTTCCTCGATTCGAAAAGACTTCCATACATTGTTCCAGAGCAGCTGCTGGCTAATACATTGGAGTACATGTACTTATGGTCACCGCAAAGCACCTACCCAAAACACCCTTTCAGCCTGGTAGAAAGGAGAGTGAGTAGACCGAAACTCGTGGGAATCACCCCCGACTCAGTACGTGGGGAGTGTTGTCTCAACCACTGGAAAGAAGTACCACCACCATCGGCATCTCTGGTTGCTGACGGGGTGAAAAGGGAAAACCTCGGGAACCTTGGCATCAGGAGGAAGTAAATAAGCATCATCAGTAGAGGACAAAAGGACGGCAAGCTTCTTCGAGGGAACGACACTACAGGACTCGAGGGAGAACCTAGACACAGACGTACAAGTAATAGTTAACATGTTTTTCGATTTTGACAGCATGTTACAAGGCGAGGACGCGTAGTGCTCCTGACTACAACCATAAACCGGTTGGCAGAGTCCCGGTCTTGCGACCATTTGAACCGTATTGGGAAAACCCAGGTTCGGACCCTCGTTACTCTACGGGTTGGTAGGATTTTTATAATCTTGTAACATGCTGTCAAAATCGAAAAACATGTTAAAGGGGAAGTATACCCTAAAATCAATTTTTCACCAGTTGTAGTCTTCTGGGTGCTGAGTCGAATGGTCTTGGTCCGAGGAAGCTGCGACGCTCCCTTCCTACTTGAATCCCAATCGAACTCGCG